TGGGGGAGGTTGGCTGAAATGTTCTCAACCTGACCTGCTTTCAATATTTGGTGTGAAGCTTGTTTTGACAAGAGCTTTTCACCATCTACTTGTATATAAATAAAAAATTAATTCTTTATATAATCTTTAACATTCTAGATGATGTAGAATTTATTGATTTAATTGTGTCTAATAAAATGCTTAATACTTTTTATTGCTTGTCGTAATTTTATGTGCTTGTCTGTTAAGGTCAAATTTTAGATGATTGGACTTGGCAGTCACCTGATTTTTTTTGACTTGCCATTTTCTAAGTTGAATTATCTACTCCCAATCAAGCAACTACAATTCTTTTAAAAGTGTGTCAGTTCAGAACAATTTTGCTTTAAATGTCATGTGCTTGACATTTTGAGATAGATTACATTCATGAAAATTCAATTTCCGATTTTATTTTATTTTTTTGTGCCCTTTCCCATAGCAATTGCTTGTGTTATTTTAAACATGGTGAAACATATCTAATATTTGGGTGTCTTGCCATGGGTTAACAAGCAAGTCATGTAAACCATTACAACTATAGAGAGTTTGATATTTTCTGGATACTTCACACTTATAATCTTTTGCAAGTTGAAACTAAATACCTATAAGTGTGTTATATGTAAGTACCTTCACAGATTCACATTACCTAAGGTTTAAAATGAAATTTAAAAAAAAATTAAATCTTTCTTGAAGCTTTTATTTTAATTTCAAGCTAATTGATAAAATTTAATATTTCCAATAAGTAAAATACTTTGTTGTATTTCAAAACTAATTTGACTGGAAGTTTTCTTTTTGAAATTGCTAAAATTACTGATTTTAGCACCATTTTTAGCCATCTTTCATTACAATGTAATTTTTTTACTTAAACGGAATACTAGCTGATTTAAAATTTAATTAATCTGTTTTGAAACCAATATTACTTAATTTTAAAACATTGTAGAAATGCATTTTTAACACAGCAATTTAAAGTGTTGACAGCTTGATTGACAGATGGAAGTTTATCTAATTTTGTTGTACAGTGGACATATCTAAAATTTACTTGAATATAACATGAGTGCCTTTCTTTCTTTCTTTTTTTTAATATAATTTTTAACTACCCAACAATCTTAAAAATTTACGAAAATATTCTCCATAATTTTTTTTTTTTTTTTTTTTTTTTTTAATTTTGAGTACTTTGGCTTTAAATTTAGTATATTATGGACATCCATATTTGCAAAAATTGTCATATATATCCACCTCCACTGAATTTTCGATACCTAAAGTCTAAAATTAGATTTTAAAAATGAAAAAGCATTCTCAAAGATCTCATTTTAGTTTTAATTGAAAGATAAATGATTAAATTTATTATTTCCAGTAAATAAAATATTTTGGTGTATTTCAGATAGAAATTATATAGATTGGAATGTCAAATAATTGCTTGATTTTTTTTTTTTTTTTTTTTCTTAAGTGACCATTTTTTTTAATTTTAAGAAATTTGTAAACAAAACAAATTTATCGGTTTTAAAAAATTCTTCCAAACATAAATTTAAGATTTGTGGCACGTTACTTGAATAAAATTAGAAAATTTAAAGTTAAATTAATCTGATTTTAAATAAATATTATTTATTTATAGCATAAAAAAAACAATATACAAGCATTTCTTAATGGTATGTCCCCTTTTTTTTTTTTTTATCTTTATTGGTTTATCGAGAGGCCTTCAAGGTGATGACAGCTTTTATGGATAACCAGAAATGATGAAGTCTAAGTGAATTTTTTTTTTTTTTTTTTAACTACCCAGTAATTTTTACAAGTTAACGTATTTTCTCAAGATTTTCTAAAATAAAAAAAAAAAAATTTTTCTAAAATAATTTAATTCATGTCAATAAGTTCTGAAAGTCTCATTAAAATACAGGAATTATTTGAATTTTTGAAAGAATTTCCAAATCAATGTGCTTTTCATTGCAAAAAAGATGCTTAAATTTCCTATAATCTTGTATCTACTTATACAAAAACAAAATTCTTTATCTTTCCTCTTAAGTTTGGGACATTGTTTTTTCATCATGGTATTTTTTAGCTAATCAGTGGAGGTAGCTATTTATATGTATAGTGGTTTATATTATATATACACATACATACACACACACACTCTTGTCAAATTTTATTATGCTAGTATCTATTTTGAAAATAAAACTGATCTTCAACATCTGATGTTTGTCAAAGTTTCAGGATAAAATGATATGATGAATATACTTGGTGAAATTATAGTATTGGTTTATGAATTTGGTAGTGCATAGTAATTGGGAATTCACTCCATGAACTGGGTAGTATATACTCAGTAGCAATAATTGTGCATTTACCAAAAAAGACTACATGTCCTTAGGCATGAACAGTGGAACAAGAACAATCTCTCTGTAGATTAAATAAAGAGTTAATGTAGAAGGCTGGTAGGCACAATGAATTGTTGTAACAACAAAGATGAGGACCTTAGTAATAATGTAGATAATACCAATTTATGGTTACTTTCATGATATATCATGAGTCTTTTTTAAGGCATGAAAAGTCATCTATCAGTACTTGTCTCTTCAAGTAGCATGAGACAGATTGTACTGTGTTACATGGTACCAGTGACAGAATCCCTGATATCGGTGATTGTGCCAATGTTATTTCGAGAGAAAAAAGTAAAAAGAAACTGGTTGGTATGAGGAGCTAAAAGGTTAGTTGGTTACTAGAGTTTGATATGATGCTTGACTGCCCATCTCTTCAAATAACATGATTGGTTGTAATCGGTTACATTGTATAAAAGAGATCTTAACTGCAAATTGATTATACTTCTAACATTTCTGACAATCATAGTCAAGATGATTGTAAATAGGACACTGAAAGGGAGGGTTGAATTCATATCTTAAATGGTAGGCTTGACCAGACTATACCATTTGCTTATTCTGTTTTTAGAATTGATAACCATTTTTTATTTGGAAGGTTCTTGTTGCAGTTGTCTGAATGCTTGTAAAATCTGCATAGTATAAATATTTATCTAAACTCTGGCTTGTTACTGTAAAAAAAAAAAATAAATCTTTTTATACTGTTTTGTCTTTCAGGGAAATCCGATCAACGTTAAAAGAGGAGATAGAAAAAATTAATGAGACCAACCCTAAGTTTTTGCCAGGCCTTGCGATTGTTCAGGTAAATAAGCTTCAGAGAGATAGAGAAAAAAAAAATGGAGGGTTGTATAAAAATCAAAAAAGAATAAAATCTATTTACAGTGAATTTCCTTAATCTGTAAATGTAGCTTTCTAAAAAAATTTTTGAGTTTCATAAAACAAATATTAAAAAACATGAAAATGATAGAAAAGAGAAGCTGGTGAAATTTTAGTAGTCAATATATTTTTAAATTCAACAGTGTGTCATTTTTTGGGTCAGTTATTTTATTTAATATTTCTAATTTAATATTAATATTGGATTTACAAACTGATAATTCTGTTTTTTTTTTTGTTTTTTTTTTTGTTCATCTTTTTAGATTATTACAAAGTTTGTGGCTGATAACTTCTTAAATTGTGTGAATTTTAAACTATGTAGCTTTTGAGTTTTAATCTCATCCTCTATAATCTTGTTCAAAGTTACCAATCTGTTTTGAATTTTAATAATTTAATTTGAAGGCTAGAGAATAGATTTTTAATAAAAGCAACAAATTTGAAAAAGTAATCAAGACTAGTATAAAGGACTGATCCTATTATGAACTGAGTTATTAGCCCTGCCTGAATACAAAGAGCGCATTGACTGTGACTTAACAACCAAGATGAGATTGAAATATATATAAATATATATTTCTTCATCTCAGAAATTAAAACCTTTTATATTGTCATAATTTTTAACTGGTTTAATTCAAGTGTAATCAACACGCACACGCGCGCGCTACATGAATATTTGCATGCAAGTTTTAGATTTTTTTAAATTTTGAAATAAGTTATTGTCTTTGAATTTATTGTCTTAATCATTTCATCTGTTGAAGTAAAATTTTTACTCAAAAAAATGTAAATTCATTCAAATTACATAATTGCAAAATGAAAAGTTTGAAAAGGACTTTGACTTGTTGCTGTTCATGTCAAGGAAAATGTATATTTTTTTCTTTATATATTCTTTTTTAGGAACTTTGCTATTTTTTAAATGTTTATCTAAAATATATCTCACAAATTTTACAAGACTTATTCTCATAAGTGAAAAGTGCTCTCTTTTCTTTTTATTACACACACAACAGGTAGAGATTTGTACTGAATGCTTGTTATTTGCCTTGTATCAAAGTTTCTTTTTGTTTTTGTTTTTTTTAATAGGTTGGTGATAGAGAAGATTCCAATGTCTATATTAAGATGAAAGTCAAGAATTCTGGTGAGATTGGTATGAATGCACAGCATATCAAATTGCCTAAATCAACTACACAAAATGAAGTGAGTATAGCTTTTTTATACATAAGTACGTTGTTATTGTTGCTCTTTTTTTTTTTTTTTTTTTTTTTTTTCAAGTGGAAGATAAACATCTCTTTTTCTATTAATTTTATTTTATCTTCAAACAAGTTTGTTTGCTTTTTGGAAGCATTGCAATATTGTTTCAGTTTTTCATAAAAGAATCATTGAATGGTAAAAATATCAGGTCATCCCATAAGTTCTGTCTGAATTTTAACTTTTTGTTAAAATGAACGAAATTTAAAGAGTATTTTATAATGTCTAATGGAGCTGAACATTATTTTTATGTTTAGATGCATTTTAAACTGATCAAATTTTATTTCAGAGAACAATAAAATTAAATTTTGTTTAAAACCCTGCTACCATGGAAGTACCCAAGAATCATTTGAGGCACATAATGCTTTATGAGTTCAAGAAAGGAAACTCAGCAGCTGAAGCGGCTAGTAACATTAACTCATTTTTGTGGAGAGGAATGTGTGAATGAAAGAACTTGCAGAAGATGGTTTGCAAAATTCAGAGGTGGAGATTTCACCCTTGAAGATGAAGATCGAACCGGACGTCCAGTTGAGTTTGATGAAAAGCTTTTTGAAGCAGCCCTTGAAGAAAATCCTGCTTTATCAGTTGAGGAATTGGAAGTGGTTCTCGGTTCAAACCATACAACTACATCATCTTCAACAACTTGGAAAAGTTCCTAAACTTGGAAAATGGGTGTCTCCATGAATTGTCTGAAAACAACCTCAAATCCCGAGTTGACATCTACTCTTCTCTCCATTCTCACCAACTTGTTTCACCTTTTTTGGATAGACTTGGCGACGAAAAATGGATCTTTTATCAAAATGTTAAGCGTCGTAGACAGTGGCTTGGTAAAGGGGAAGGACCACAGCCAAGAAGGGAACTTCATGGGCAAAAGGTTCTTCTTTCAATCTGGTGGGATCGCCAAGGAATAATCCACTTTGAATTCTTACCACCTAATGCAACAATTAATGCTCAAATATACTGTCAGCAATTAGAGTGTTTGAACCAAGCATTGAGGAAAAAAAGACCTGCTCTAGTGAATCAAAAAGAGGTGATGTTTCATCAGGACAATGCATGACCCCACATAGCAAGAATCACATCACAAAAGATCGAAGAACTTGGTTGGGAGAAAATTCCTCATCCACCTTATTCTCCCGATCTTGCTTCTTCAGACTACCATTTGTTTCATAACTTACAGAATCATTTGGAAGAAACAGCTTTTGTAACACAGGAAGAGGTTAAAACTGACATTTGTGAGTTCTTCAAATCAAAGCCGAAAGAATTTTACAGTAATGGAATTAGTAAGCTTGTTAATAGATGGAAGGCAGTCATAGATAATCAGGGAAAATACATTGTTGATTGAATCTGTAATTAAATGTAACATTTGGTCACTTGTTTTCTTTATTCAAAATTTGGACAGAATTTATGGGATGACTTGATATATTTATCTCTGAGGTAAATTTGATTTGTTAATGAAAACCTTAATTGCTTTGTTTGTATTTTGGTCAGTTGCATTCTAAGTAAAAAGAGGTTTTGTTATTTGCAATCATTTAACATTATATATAAGTACATAGTAAACAGCTTATTACTATATTGGAAATAAATATAAAAAAAAATTAATAATCTTTCTCTCCTTCCCCTCTCAGCTATAAGTAAATAGTACAGAAGATTGTACTGTATATAATCTTGCTTGGTGACCCATCTAAGAAAAGGATAGCACTGAATTCAAATCCAGGAAGCTTATAAACAAGCAATCTTTTGTTGGACAGAAAGAGCACAGCATGTTGTTTAAAAAAGACTTTGTTGTCTACTACATCCCCTATATGCTTCCAGACATGTTGATAGTGTCCTGCTTTTGGTTCCTGACAGACAAATACAAGAGCAAGGATGACAATGTGCACAACTTTGCTTCATTATAATGCAATTCAAATGCCTTGTTATGACTTCAAATGAAGTGATGGTCATCTTTGGATTATGGAGGATGACCGTACTGACATTGTATATTAATTTAAAAGTTCATTGTTTTCCTTTTAGATTAAATCTTTTATCTCTTTGTTAACTTCCTGTTAACTTACTTTCAGATCTTCTGATGTCTGAGTTAAATATTCAGATAGATTCAAATACAACACATCCAGTATCTTTATTTTTATTTTTTAATCTCAAAGCTCTTTTCTTTTCTAATTATTGTCTCCCAAGTATCAGTTGATATTTTTCCTTGGACTGTTGAGTGCACGATTTCAATAAAACATGTCTGCTGATTCTGTCAACTGTCTTCTTCCATCCCTGTTGTGACTCCCTGAGAAAAGCCAATGGATTATAACAGGAAAGCAACAAAAGAATGAATCCAAACAAAACAATACAGAAGATTTTATCTGAAAACATCTAAATAAATTTCATTATTCCTGCTTCCTCATCCTCTGATCAATCCCAGAAATAAATAATTCATCCAGGGCGCAAGCTTGACAATTCTGATAAGAGAAACTGTAAAACTTGATTTAATAAAGTCAGAAAAAAAATATACTGAGGTTGCTAAGATACCTCAGTATATTTTGTTTGCCTTAAGTCAAGAATTTTCACTTTTTTTTTTTTTTTTTTTTTTTTTTTTTTAAGGATAAATTTTTCATACATCAAATTTTATTTTACTATTTATTGTTATAATTGTTCTACTTTATTAGTTATTGCTGTAATCTCTAAGATCTACAGTAAGAATGGATCTTCTAAACTAGTCTATTCTATTCATATCTTACTGTGCCTAATAAGATCTACAATATAAACAATTCTTTCATCTATCACATAATTTTCATTACTGTATATTGTTATGTGCATAATTTATAAATTAGACTTTATCAAAGGTATGTACCTATAGAAAAAGATGTTGAGTTTAGTTTTTTATTGAAGATTATTTTTTTTTTCCCCTTTTGTAATTTCAGGTTGTGGAGACAGTAATTAAATTGAACAATGACCCAACTGTGCATGGAATCATTGTGCAGGTAATAGAAATTACATGTCTATTTATTTATTTACAGTTGGAATAATGTCCTCCTCTCTTTATATTCATTAGGTTTCAGCCATTGTATCATCCAGTCTTCTTCAGGTGTTGTTTTATTTATTTTCCAAGAATATTTAAATATTTGAAATGTATATTTTATGCATTTTTTTTCTCTACTGGGTCAACCTATTGGCTCTCTTAGGGGCCACCAACAGAGCAGTGCACTCTGGTGAAGTCCTGAATGGACCCTTTCCAACTGATGACTGTAGACAATTTGTTATAAGAAGGGAAGACAAGGGGATGCTGAAAAGTCCTCAGCCTCATGAAAGAGCCCCCCCCCCCCCAATCAATAAAAAAAAACCTGATGTTTGATTAGATTTTGGTAAGTTGTGTAGGGCTGAGAACTTTGCAGTACCTCCATATATGTGATGGATGAGATAATTTGCATCTTTGCAAATAAAGTAAAATACAGGATGTTAATCCCCCCCCTCCCCTCTATAATTCAATATTCCTCCTCCTCCCCTATTTTTCTGGTAATTCATATTTTGTATAAATGAAAACAGATTTCAATGCACAAACCTAAAAAATTTTTGATCATCCATAATCTCATCAAATGATTTTAAACTTGTGTATTGAAATCTTTGTTTATGGTGGGGATTAAATTTTTTCTCTTCAATATCAATTTAAACGCCTGCATTAAGGACCAGGAAAAATCTAAAAAAATTGTTTAATGACAATTGATTCTATTGGAATCATTTGTTGGCAGATTTGGCAAAAGCATTTTTTTTTTTTTTTTTTTTTTTTTAAGATGCCCTTTTTAGTTTAGGGGGAAATTATCACTGCAGATATCAGCTTCTGTCAAATTATGACCAAATCCTTTTCCATGTTCAGTCACCTTTCCAAGTTGCTTCCAGTGATTGAGAAAAGTTGAATGGCTTAATCCAATTTTTCAATAAATTCTTCAGTTTATAAGCTTTGTCATTGTCAGTCTTATGGTTAAATATTAGACAAGCAAAGTGCATCAATTTAATGTTCTAATGTGATGAGATTCTGAATCATAAAAGGCTTTTTTAATTCTTACAGAAAATAATTTTGAAAGAATGAAATGAATAAAATTTTGTATCTTTACAGTTGCCAATGGAATCAGAACATGAAATTGATGCCCATGTTGTTACTAACACCATTTCTCCTGCAAAAGATGTTGATGGGTAAGTTGTGTAAATTGATTTTTTTTTTCTTTTCCTTTTAGATTTTGTTTTTGTTATAATCCAACTTTTGTTTCTTTGTGGACTGAAATATTTGGACATATGAAATTTAATAATTTTATGCCACACACTTTAAAGCACATTTCTAATCAGGAATCCAACAGCACTGAGCTCATTAAAGAACAGAATTGTTCACTCAATTCTGTGTGCTTTCACTTTATGCCAAGTTATCAATTTAATAAATTTTTCCCTTAATAAATTTGTCTGTAGATTATTTTAATTCTATCTCTTTAATAGATAACAAATCGGATTTCATTTGAACTTTGAATGAAGATATAAAATGGAGGTTTTAATGCAGGGGGGGTGGGACTACGGAAAGTGTGCTTTTTTTTTTTTTTTTTCAGTGTCATGTTTTTCTGTATTTTTTTATTTTTTTTTTTCTGGGATAGACTTTTTTCCCCTCTTTTCACTCATATATTTTTCCCCCCCTTTCACTTTAAAAGATTTTTTTTTTTTTTTTTTTTTTTTTTTTTAAGCCTTCACATTCAGAATGCAGGAAAGTTGGCTCTTGGTGATTTGAATGACTGCATTGTTCCTTGTACACCTCGTGGCTGTTTGGAATTGATCAAAAGATCTGGTGAGATTTCACTTTTAATTACCAAATATTGTTCAACATGTAATAAAAAAAACTTGCAATGTATTTATAGTAAAAGCAAATTAACATACTTAGGAAACAAATGACACCCACAATCAAAATTTCATTTAAAAATTTAATTCAGTTTTCAGAAATTTTGTAACAAAAGAAAAAATATTATAAAACATTTTCTGCCAATTTGTGGAAATATTTGTTTGAAAGTATTTTTAAGTTAAAAGAAATTTAACTATGAAAATTCAATTGAAACAGATTTAACAAATTTAAAAGTTTCTAAAAGTTAACTGATTATTAAAATTTAATAAAACTGTCTTTATTGCAACAATGACTCTGTAGCTAAATGGTATAGCACATCCAGTTCCATGTAAGATACAGATTCAATTCTTGTTGGAGGCCACATATTTTGTATAAAATTACCAGGACATGACATTCAGATTAGTAAATGTTGTTAATACTGTTTATTATAAACAGAGCATTTGCTTAAATATTTGTATCTATAAAAATGTATAAACAATAAATATATTAAAATAATTGTCACACTTAGTTCATTTCATTATATATATAATGTGTATAAATTCTCAAATTTCTTTTTCAGCTGTTAAGCAGTATGAACGGTAAATAAAGAATGACTTTATAAAAAAAAAAAATTACCTTTCTAAAAAGGATGGCAAGATAGAAAAATCCACTTGATTATGGTTTTACAAGCCAAGAAATGTAATTGGTTATATTTAACTGAACAGATTTTGGGACACCTGTCCATAACCAAAGTTTTTAAAAAAGAAAAAAAATAATACAAAAATAGGTATAGTACCAGAAAATCATTTGGTTGACAGGCTGCCCCAATCTGCCAGTAGCTAGTACGAAAGTGAAGAAGCTTAAAAGACTGGCAGGGATCGACACACAAAGAATGAGAAAGAAATTAAATGTGAAGAGAAAAAGCTAAAAACAAATAAAATTTCCCAGGTAGCAGTACAGAAAAATGGGAGGGAGTATGGACTAGGCACTTTTTATGGACTTTTTACACTGGCCCTGAAAATACCAACCAAAAATGCCCTAATCAAACATTTGTTGTCTTGCACCATAAGGAGGCAGCAGGTGATACACTGTGAAGAGCACAAGATAAGTTTCTTTGCTTTGAAATCTTTCCAAAGATAAGGATTGATATAGAAGGCAAATCAGTCAGGTAAAAACGTGGGGTGTCAAAGTTTAAAGTATTCATAAAGTGGCAAGTAATACGGAAATGTCAAACTTTTTTACATTTTAAGCTCCCACCCAGAGATTAGGAAGTTGGTTAGGGAAAGAAAAAAAGGGTGTATTTAGGAAATTTTATGTGAACCAAAAACATTAAAAAAAAAAAAAAAGTGAGGATAATGGATGCTGACCTTTTGGTCATATTGTTGCCATTTAAACAACTCTACTTCAGTTGAAGAATATTTTTTTTTTTTTACACACTGGCTGTTGTGGCTGAGTTGCTTTGAAGCTGGGGTCAGTGTTGGGGTAAAGGTTTTGGCTCCAACTCTGAAAACTTGAGAACCCTAAATGTAATAATTATTCCCCCCCCCCTGCCACAGCTCAGAACAAGCCATATTTTTCCTTCCATCCTGCTACACTAATATTGGATCAACAAAGATTGTTTGTTTTTTTTTTAAAAAAAAAAAAAAAAAAAAAAAAAATTTGATGGATTAAAACTTGAGACTGTAGTAATTCATATTTTGGTAATCTCTTCATTTCTTCCAAACAGAAAACAATTTTTTTTTTACTTTCCTTTCATATGCGAGTGACTTGTCACTACTTGAGCAAGACATGAGTTAAATTAGTAAGAAAATTTACAATGTGGTGAATGAGTGACATTCCCCAGCCAATTTTTTTTTATGGACAATTATGGCTGTTAGAATCTACGTTGTTTATGGATGTTAAGCAATTGACTTATGAAAAATTAATTTTACTGGAAATATCAGTAATAAATAAGTCTTATGTAAGAATTGACAAAGGCACTCATAAATAATAACCAGCCACTAATTTTAATAATTTTTTTAAAACTGTATATATTAGCATATGTACAAGCTTATTTACCTAATAACAAGATCATTTATTCTTGGATATATTCAGTTTGTTAGCCTAACTGCTAATCAATCTCTAGTCAAGTCCTATGATGATAGACATGTCATTTTATTTTGACAGCCATATGATAATGGGGAAAATGTTAACTCCATCTCCCTCTTAAACCCAAATGCATTCTTTGTGCAATTGAAAACCATGAGAACATTTTTATTTCATTTTTCTTATAAATGTTTTTACTGGTGATTCAAAAAATTATAGAATATTTTCTTGATATTTTTTTCTCCAGCTACTTTCAGTGATTTTGTCCATCTTTGGGCAGATGATATTAGGGGAAATAAGTGTATGACCTGGAACCATCAATAAAAATACATGCAAGAAAAAAAAATAAATTAAATCGTCACAAGAAATAAATCCCTCTTCTGTCAAATATTCAAGAGAATTTTCTGCCAAAGTACACTATAATATATATATTAATCTTGATATCCACAGACAAACTGTTTGGCTGTATCACAGCTCATCAGTGTGGCTAGACATCCAATTGCTTCATGCTGGGTTCAAAACCAGACTGATTCGGCAACAGTAAGAATTTTTCCCCCTAAGCCATCAGCACACACAGTTGAAAGGCAAATCTTTATGTACTTATTCTGTGAATAAACACACCAGTGACTGATAGTGCTCAATTTTAAGAAGAACCTTGTAATATCCGTAGTAACAACCATTGTTTACAAATTCACTCTTATCTTCCAAGAGTGCCCAACCCAACCAAATTTAAGTTTTTTGGGTGTTTATATTGCTGCAACACTTGATAACAAAATTTTGATTTTGTTTCTTGTGGCCATGAAAAAAAAAAAAAAAAAATTAACTAGCTATAAAATTGTTTTTCAATTTTTGAACTTAAATTTGTTTTATCCTTACGGGATAAGGTGTTATCAGGAATTAAAATGCATATAAAACTTACTCAATAGGGTTATAATATACGATATCTTCTGCTAGATTCCCTTTTAAAGAAACTTATTTTTTTTATTTGTAGGTGTCTCAATTGCTGGAAAGACTGCTGTTGTTTTAGGCCGTAGTAAAATTGTGGGTGCTCCTATGTCCAATCTTTTACTGTGGAACCATGCAACTGTCACAGTGTGTCACTCAAAAACAGTTGACCTTCCTTCTGTGGTAAGTTAAAAAAAAAATCTATTTTTTCAACTTTTTGCCATATCCTGGTTAAATTTTTCTACAAATGAGAGAGAGGATTTTTTTTTTTTTTTTTTCTTTCTTCAATATCCAAAACTTTTTAATTATTCAGACAAGCATGTCGGTGTGATTGAGAAAAATTTATAGATGAAAATAATTCTCTATATTTCTGAGATGAGGTATTATGTACACTATTTACATTGTTCGCAACATTGTCCTCATCTTTGTTGCCATGTTTATCACAATGCTTCGGCCTTCTTCAGGGCACATAGCACAAAGGCGTTAGTTAGACCCAAAGAGTGTGAGTTCAATACCTGGGTAAGGCGGTGGAAAACTTGGAGAGGGGAATTAACAGGAGATAACTGACATCCATTAGACATGGAAATAGAACAGCCTACCCCAGTGAGCAAAATAAAGGGTTCAGTTCAACGTTCCAACCACCTGAAGAAGGCTGGAGCATACAATGGCCAAAACGTGATAAATATGGCCACTGAAATTGAAACTCATATATATGATTCACTTCAATCTCGCAATCAGTCAAATTGTTTTCTAAAGTGAACATAATTCCTATGAATTTGCTAAGTTACTGATGTGTGTGAAACTTGTTTTCTTTTAAATTCATTTTACTGGTGATTATGTTCAGATCATGTTTGAAGTTTTAATGTTTTCTCTTCTGCAGGTGAAAACTGCTGATATTTTGGTGGTAGCCATTGGAAAGCCAGAATTTGTCAAAGGTGACTGGATAAAACCTGGTGCTGTGGTCATTGATTGTGGCATCAATTCAATACCAGGTTATTATTAAAAATCTTCTTGTTTTATTTTCTATAATACCATCTTAACCTCTGCCCACTTAATTAATAAACTGAAGTGCCATGTAAGAAAGTTTTCTCTAACTCTGGTTGGGTGGGCATGTCTTTCTTGGAAGAATAACTCCTTCAACCAGCTCAAGATGCCATTTGAGGTTAGCAGCATTCATGCTAGTCATCCACCTTTCAGAAAAGCTCTCCACCCTGATTTTGCCCTTTTGCTGGTGCTTGAAAAAAAAAAAAAAAAAAAAAAAGCCACCAGATGAAATAAATAAATAAAAATAATTCAATCAACTTAATTCATCCTCATCATCCATACCCTCCATTCTCGTCACGGCTAGCAAGCACAGAGGAAAGTGCTTCCTCTTGTTTGACAATGAGCTCACATTGACACAACCAGAACTAGTATTCAGGACAAAGTGTTCATGCAGAATTGTGACCCAGGTAGCCTCCAATAAGCTCTCATAGCAGCTATACAATTGGGTAGTGAAAAGTCTATTCAATACTCCCCCATTTCACTGCATTGAACCCCACTGCGAAAGACTTCTTTGGGAATGCTCTCTCTAGATTGGCAATCATCAGCCAGGTGAATAATGCCTCATTGTTAGTGAGGCATTTCAACCCCAAGCATCCAAGGTCATATGGAGTGACCCCTCCCACTTGTCTTGACTATGGATGGATTTTGGAGTCTTGCCTTTTATTCGAAAAAGAACCTTTCAGTGCATGATGGTATTTGCAGGAGGAGCATTCCCTTTGGGACAAACAGCACACACCCCTCAAGGATTTTTAACATCTTCCTTACCAGATGGTGCTGTTCATGTCATTCTGTGCACACATCTGCTCCAGGAAATGTAGTCATAAAATATTTCAACAGGTCTGTTTGGCATTCTGTCACCTCCCTAAGACAGATGGAGGTAGCAGACCTCATGACACCATAGGAGCTTGTTGCCTCAGAAGAGATGAAACTAAGCTCTCTCTAAATAAACTACGGGGGTGGATGGGTGGCAGATCTGAGAAATGGTTTAACCCTACCAAGGGCATTGGACTGATCCAAATTTATCAGTATTCGATGTTCTCTTTTTTGTGCAAACCAAATAAAGGCTATCTTAGTCTGTCCATTTACAGCACAAGTCTGTTCAGAAGGTAACGAGAATATCAAGCAGGGTCTGTAAATGCTTTGCCAGGAACATGGCCAAACTGCATTAAACAAAGGTCCAAAAATTACCAATCCTGTAGCCCTCCATGTTCTTGTGAATTTCCAGCAGCCTCAAGTACGTTTTGTAGGGCAAACCATTATATCAACTTCAATGCTTCCAGATTTCCTCCTGCTATGTGACCCTCACAACTAGTTGTCTTGAGGTGAGGAAAGACAGCCAAATAGTTGTTGAATTGAGATGCACTTCATTAGGCTCTCTGCTGAAAAGCTTCCAAAATTTCCTGCATATGCCCTCATGCATTAATTAACCTGACTAGTTTGGTCCTTGTTAAGTAAGGAGGCCAACTTGGCCATAGCTAGTTAGCTTATCTCCTGATTTGACAGTGTCTTCTAGTGACTTTTGTGCTGCTAGTCTCAAGATTAAGTCGTCTGCTATAATAGGTGGCAAAAAAACAGATGGTATCCTTAAGGAACACCCCACCACAGAATCCATCAGTTCCCATTGTATTGTTAGTAGCAGCTGGTCCCAGAAATACTTTGTTGAATTTCCAATAGCCAGTTAATCTAGACTTAATTTAAGTTTGTGTGGGCCTGGACAAACTACATTTGGATAAGATAACCTAGGAGATTCTCCTAGTTAGAACATCACATTGAACCTGGGCTCTTCAAGTCAACTCTACCTGCTTCAGATATTCATTTTGAAATTTATCGACCAGATAGTCTGGTGATAATTTTTTTCTTTTTTTTCCATTGGAAGGAATGTTTGGCCCAGGACAATTCCCAAAGCTATTCAAATGGCTACCTTATTTTGTAGTAGGCTATATTGTAGGAAACATTTTTTTTGAAAGAAATGGATTGTAATTTTTAAAACTCAAATCCATGCTTTCGTTTTTTGGCTTGCAGAAAAATATGTTGACTAAATGTTAAATATTTCAATCTCAGAAGTAGATTTTTTTTTAGGTTAATTTCAGTGCTTGGGTTTAGGATCTTCCTGCAAATGCACAAAGATGGCCACATCCTTTAGGTGAAAGAAGACACCATATAAAAGAAATTCTTGAAAGATTGGAGGCACAAAAATATATTTTACCTGTGTTATATCTTTTCAGATGAGACCAAGAAGAGTGGAAAGAGACTGGTTGGTGATGTTGATTATCAAGCTGCAAAAGAAGTGGCCGGTTGGATAACGCCAGTACCTGGAGGGGTTGGGCCAATGACAGTGGCAATGTTGTTACAGAACACTGTAGAGAGTGCTAAGAATAACCTCAAACAAGCCGTTTGATAATAATGACTGCTTTTTTTGGTGAAGAATGAAAAAAAAAAAAAAACCTGAATAAAATATTTTTCCTTTTACACTTTGCTTTTGTCCTTTTTGGTTAATCTCATTTGCTTCTCCAGGTCAACTGATGACGTACTGACTATAATTATGGGAAGAGTCTATCATGCTCTAATAAAAGTTCTTTGTTTTACACTACTAGATTGGTGTTGAGATCTCAAGTTACAATTGTGCCTCATCTAAGCTGGCTAGATGTATGTATAAACTTAAGTTTCACTAAATTATGTAACACCATGCTTCACAGCCAACTTGACACTAAAATTTCAGCTTTTTGCACTAGTTAAAAGCACAAATACTTGAACTAAAAATCATTTACTGAAAATAAAACTGACATTTAATTAAAGCTTCATAAAGATATTGACACCTGTCTTCAGAAATTTCTTTATGCATAATTTAAAAAAATTTTAATTACATAATTTATGGTTTAAAACTTAAATCAATTCCTCCTTAAAAATCAAATAGAAAAGCTCCATACACAGCAATCAATATTTTAGTAAGAATTAAGGCAGGTCATGGCATTAAGATAAGGGCCATAACTATGGTAAATTTAAAAACAGACTACAGAAAGTATGTTAAGTTTCAAAATTACTGGGTTAAAATATAAAAATGCATCTCACATTAAGTTTATTTTCATGGCTAAAAACCACAGCTTGTGTGTGTATGTGGGGGGATACAGGCAATTTAAAATAGTTTTGAAATTAAAGTTAGTTAAATTTTCGTTTTTAAATTCATTTTAAACCATAGGTATTTTTTTTTTTTTTTTTTTTTTTGGTGGTGGTGCCTACATTAATTTGTCTAATGTGAGAAGATTCACAAAGAAACAAAATCCATGCAGCTTTCATGAAAATTTGGATGCATTAAGAACAAAAACTAGACAGAGACTCAGCTAAAACATTTATTCATAAACATTTTTAGGCTGCTTCTTCCTTTGTGTTTCTGGTGTAAATGATCTGTGCATGATGTTTTGACACAAGCTTGATCTTACCTGGAAAAAAGAAAAGAGAAATCAAAAAGTGCATCAGGCAAGCTAACCTCAAATACTTTTATTCTGGCTCTTGATATAATAAAAAGAATTAATATTTTAACATCAATTGGTTTCAATTACACCATTAATGTGGGTATGACATACTGGGATAATAAAATAAAAATGGTAGTTGATCACAGGCCACACTATTTTCTAAGAGATAGAGGGAAAAAAAACTCCTCAGAAAGCAAGAGTTTAGATGCCAAGATGCAAACAACAGAATTTGTCCAGGAAATTTGTTTTGCATAAACCACTTTTTAGTTTAAGAGTCTTATCTGGAACACGGCTGTTTAAAAGATGGCACATAAACGAAATGTTTGTCAAAAAATGTCATTTGTCATTAACATTTTAAACACCACATAGAATGTAAAGTTCTTAAAGCAAACCTATGCCAAACTGTTTTCCTGAATCCTTGATGACTTGGCTGTCTAAAAATGACAACATCAAAATGAAATAACAGAAACTGACCATGAAAAACAATTATGCACAACAGGTTTTCGATCAATCAGTAAACTTCTGGACCTTTTAGGGTGACGTTACAGAATCCAGACGGCTATTGTTTGCACATGGAATCATTCACTGGTAATTAATCTTCGATTTGGCTGTGGAAAATGTTGCTCGGCGGTTAGCATTAAGAAATTATGCCCAATTTTCTGAGAAAAATCACCGTTTCTTATGAAAAAAATATTTGTTTTCGCTTCAAGATAACATCATTGAATAAAAGGAACTGCTAAATGGCCTGGCGACGGGAAATATGAAAACTATGCAGCGAAAAAACAAAAAACAATGCAGTCTGCTAAGTTTTGTCATCACCTGGCTCACGGGGTGTTAAAAACAAAACTCATCAAGCCATTGCTCAAACATAGGTTATATCAAGCCCTAGTAATGTTGACCCCCCCACCCCTGCACTTTGCTTTTGAGTGGTGGGTTTTATTACAACTTGTTCTAATGTTTATTGCTGACTGACCTTTGACCCAGATGTCAAAGTCAATTTGGTTTAATTCTCTTTGGAACTTTTGGTTTCTGGTGGTTAGGAATTGCAGATAAATCTTTTGCCTTTTACAAAAGATTTGTGGCCAGGTATCTATTTTTTATTTTATTTTTTTAAAACCCTTGGCAGTCATAATTGAAAATTACCAATGGATTTTGTCACATTGACCCCCTAGGAATGTTGATTTCCTTCAAAACTCAACTTTATGCCTGAAATAGTTTATGATTTAGGCTTTCCAATATAATAATAATAATAAAGCTTAATTTCCAATTAATGGGGAAAATATTTGTAGAACAAGGAAAAAAATCCAAAATTTTCACTATTTTTTGACATTTTGCCCACTGATAAAAAATTGAGCCATTTACACCAGCCAATTTTACTTTTAAATGAAATAAATCCTTTGCTTTGAGAAAATACCTAGTTTCATAGGGTTCAGATCAAGTTTCTTTGATATTAGTTTATTTTATTAGTTCAATATTTTACCCCTATCAAAGTATGAAAATCCATTTTTTTGGAGAGAAAATAAACTGTGACAAAATGACTTTCGCCATTTTTGTGTTGATTTTCACTTGGAAAAGAAAATTTTTACCATAGCAAACCTGAATTGACTAAGTTCAGTGGGGCTATAGGAAACCTCAAACAGCTGTGGGCAGATGATCCAACAAATATTTTTTCAGATTAGGCAAGATGATAAACTAGTGCCAATTAACATACTGCTTGATAAGTTGTATGAAAAGTGTACACTTACCCATAGAATGCAATTCTCTTAAAGCCAATTTGGCTAATGAGCCTCTGATCTTTAATCTTTCACTGACAACAGAGGGAGTGATCAATTTGTAACTGGTCACTTCTTTATAGAGTTTGTCATATGTAGCTTTGTCAAAGAACACCAAATTGTTCAACTTGTCTCTGACTTTTCCTTTTGACCACTTCTGCAAGACAAAAAAAAAAAAAAAAAAATTTTTTTCAGAAATTCACTAACAAGATAAAATTTGAACAAACTTTCAGCTAAAAATGTCAAGTAAATAATTTCCATTTTTTTTTGTTAAATACATCTATAATAATACCCCCTCTCTATAATGACCCAGCTGTGGGTATTGACTTGTGTCACCTCTCAGCAACAATATAATAAAAAAAATCCAGTGACTTCCCTTAACAAAACAATCACAACTTTTGGTTCATCAGTAATCTATGCTCTTCCATAAAAAAAGAAAGCAAAGTGACAGTACCTTGAAAAAGGCCAAGCAAACATCTAACAAAAGGAAGAACATTTTACATCCCATGAAATGTTATGGCAGTGAATATGCAGATCTTTATATCTCTTATCCAGCAAAGAATGGTTCGAGATGCATTTTACAGTCTTCCATGCATGATTAAAAAACAAACTGAGGCAAGTCAGTAAAAAAAAAAAAAAAAAAAAAAAAAAAAAAAAATGAAAGAAGCAATTTAAAATGGACATGGTAAGTGTGTGTGCACACATTATTTAGAAGGTGGTGTAAATAAATCAAGTACCTTCTTTTTAGCTTTACCACCAGAACCTCCTTCCTTCTTTTTCTTTTCGGGCTGTTTGCCCGATTTACCTCCTTTACTGTCTGCCTTCTTGGGTGGCTGAAATGACAAGTGAAGAAAAAAAATTAAAACTACTAAAGACAAGTTGGCCAGAAAAAAAAAAAAAAAAAAAAAATATCACATTATTGGATAAAATTAAAAGATTCTTCAGATTTAAACTTTATTCCCATCAAATCACAAAGGAATTCTAACTGCCACCTGCCAAGCAGCAAATAACATTTGTATCAAGGCAGGGGTTCTTAACCAGAGAGGGAAGAAAAAATGAAAAATCATTACTATACAATTTGAATACTCTGACCTTTCTGCTTATGGAAGCAGGCTTCAATTAAACAATTAGTTACAAATTAAAAATGTATTAAATTTTTAAAAAATTTAAATTTTTTCTATTGCTATTAAATGTGTAAAACTGCCCATGTACCAATATGGAAAACAATGTTTTTTCAATGTATTTAGAATGCACCTTTTGAGTTGGAAAATCTTGGAAGGGGAGCATGGCATTCTAACACTTGGGGGATGGGGCAGAATCACTGCATCAAGAACTGTACACAATTTCCCCATCTCTCAGAGTGGGAGAAAAAGTGGGGATAGGAAGGTTAAGACAATTTTGATATGAACTGAAGTCACATTATTGGCATAGAAACGGACAAAGAGTCCGGTTTAACATTGCGAACTTGTCTGGAGGAGGTCATTGGTAATGTTTAGAATCGGGACTATAAAACACAGGCCATAACTACCATACACTTATGGGCTAAGATATCCATTGATATTAAATGAAATCCCAAAGAATTTATTTTATAGAATTTATTCCCGATAGATCAACAAGCACTCTAGAAGTGGTCATCAAAAGAAGGTTCTATGATCATTAGTGATAGTTGGTCCGCTGTTTATAAAGGCCTAAAATGATCCTGGGTACTATCACAATTTTGTTGATTTACAATACTACATGAATAGTTCATTATACTCAATAGAGGATATAGCTGGCTTCAAGCGTTTTACGAATGGGGATTATTCAGAGAAAAAAAAATGTATTTGAAAATTAAAAGGCATAAGTAATTTTAACTAAGTATAGGCATTTACTAATATAGATTACCTTACTACTGGAGTTTTAAAGAGTGTAATATCATTTAGTCTATGAGTCTTTACCAAAAATGGCAACCACCAGTTATTTTAGGTACCTCCACGAGATTGCTAAAGAGCATGACGAAAAAGACACCAAACAAAATTCTATTGACTAAATGCTCATGTTATTAAGTGGAAAGGGTATTTTTTTTTTTTTTTAAATCGTTCCTAGCACGTCCCAAATTTGTTAATTTTTGAACCAGCAAAATTGATCATTCCCCCCCATTTTATATAAAAAAATGG